ACAGGCTAGAGTTACCCACGGGAAAGAATGTGTTGCCCTTGACAACCATTCTTCTCCCTGACTTCTCTCCCTGAGGGACAGAGAGGAATGCCTCATTAGTCATCCTGGCCTCTCCCTCCTGGTCTCCAGCCCTGCTCCCTCTGCTCACCAGCGGAGGCGGCTCAGAGCCCCCACAAGTGTTTCATGGAACCCCCAGGCTCAGCCTTGACCTCCGACCCCTGTGCCTGGAACCCTGTCCTTGTCTGAGCCGGGGCAGTGGGAGAGCCCCAAAGGCACAGAGTGCTATGGGGTACAGGTGGGGGGGATGGGCAGGAGGGATGGGGCGCTGAGAGGGGGCTCAGGTCATCAGACATCCCCAGGTGCCTCTTTTGAGTGGGGTCTTCTGATGGCCTATTGGAGGGAGGAGTGGGTAAGGTGCCCACCCTTTTCCCAGCCCCCACTTTGCCTCTAGAGCTGCTGCCCACAGCAGTCCTGGCACATAGTAGCCCCTCAGTAAACAGTGCAGCAGGTGCACTGAACATAGTGACTAAAAAGGCCCCAGTTTTCCAAACTCCAGCTGCCCTGTGACAGGCTGGGGAGATGTAGGCCCAGAGCAGGGAGGACTTGACCCAAGGCTTAGGTGGGTCAGGGATGAGCCCGGGTCGCTGGCCTCTTGGCCCCCAAATTGTGAGATTTCACTCAAAAGAGGCATTCCCCTACTTAAAGAGCCTTCTGGTTTATGATTGCAGGTGTGTGATGCTTTAATGAGCCCTGGTAGGTGGTGAGCTGCCTATCTTGAGGGGTGTTCAAGCAGACCTGGGAGGGGCTGGACCACCATGCAGTAGAAAGAGTCAGGACCAGGGTGGGGTCAATGAACTCTGGGGTCTTTCCCCCTTGATATTGGCACAGAGGGGTCTCTGTCAGCGTTCAGTGAGTGGCCCCAAGGGCACTCTGGGGCAGGTGGAAGGGCCTGGGTCACCTGCACTCCTGCTGTCTGCACAGCGGAAGCCCCAGACTGCCTAACTGGGGCATCGCTCTGCTGGGGAGGGCGGAGAAGAGCCTGGCCGCCCCTGGAAGGGCCCCACTTCTCCCTGTGCACCTCCACAGGACAGGCTGTGATGGCTGCCACGGAGCTGGGGCCTGTTTGGCGACATGGAGTTGGGTGGGCCTTTGGGAGCCTTTAGCCAGCTGCTCTGTGTCTGGGGGCTGGCGGAAGACCCACCTCGTCCCATGAGTCACTCCAAAGGTACAAGGCAAGGTAGGTCCTTGGGAACAGACCATTCGATTGGGCTTGGCATGCCCCCCTACCCCCGCCCAGTCCCTCTGGGCATTCTGGGCCCGCACCCTTTATGCTAGGACTCACAGGGGCTGGGGACATCTGGACCAGGAAGCGGGGACACAGCAGAGAAGCTGGGTTCTACCCTGAGGCCACAACATGGTAGTTGTCAGTCCCATTCTGTAAAGCAAGATGGTACCCATGGGCCAACTGGCCGGGTACACAGAGCAGGGAGGGCTCCATATTCGTAGTCATAGTCACCACTGAGCACAGCTACGGTGCCAGACCCCAGACCCGGCGCTGGGGATATGGTGCGGAAGTTACCATTAACGGAGAAGAGATGCAAATAACAATATGGACAGTTAGTATAGTTGGGGGAGATCATTTATACTGTGGTCGAGTAGCATGTAGGGTAAAGTTGCTGTGGCTGAAATGCCCAGATGGGGCACCTGGGTGGCTCAGTCGTTAAACGTCTGCCTTCGGCTCAGGTCCTGATCCCAGGGTACTGGGATCCAGCCCTGCATTGGGACCTCATACCTGTGCTTGGCAGGACAAAGTGAGCCGGTGGTACCCCAAGTGGGCTGTGGATACCCCTGGTACGTATGGGGGCTTGTCCTGGGCTAAGCTGAGAGGGGACCCTGAGAATTGCCTCTGTCCTTGGTGCATGAGAAAAATGGCATTTCAAATCACTAGGGGAAAAAGAATATTTTTTGCACGTTTTTCTAGTTTGGGCTTTTTTGTTTTGTTTTTTGTTTTTGCCTTTTTTTTTTTTTTTAAGTAAGCTCTATACCCAACATGGAGCTTGAACTCACGACCCCACGATCAATAGCCACGTGCTCTACGCACTGAGCCAGCCAGGCGTCCCAGTTTTGGGGTTTTTATGGAGGCTTCATTATGCAGGCGTAATCGATTAAGCCATTGGCCACTGGGGATTAATTCAACCACCATCCCAAGTCCTCTCTCTGGGAGTAGGAAGGAAGGGGCAGAAAGTTCCAGTCCTCTCCTCAGGCTGCTTCCCTGGGCCACCAGCCCCCGTCCTGGGGTTCCCTAGGAGCTTTCCAAATGTCACCTCGTTGACATAAACTCAGGTGTGGTTGAGAGGGGCTCATTATGAAAAACAGAAGCGTATTTCCCGTTTACCACGGCAGAGCTCTTTGAGGGAACCAAAGATACCCCTCTGGGCTCTTTGTGTGGGGCGCCACAGACCAAGACCACGGTGTATCTCCCAGCAGCCACAGGTGAGTGATAAGGGAACACACACCGAACCGAGGACACAGGGGGCCTTGCGGTAGGGGCAGGAGAGGGAGGGACACGGGTAGGAAGAGGGAAAATACAAAAGAAAGCTCAGGGCCACGTGCAGAGCAGTAAAGAGTATGGGCCACTACGTTCCCACAGGTCCCCCAGGGCAACACAGATCTAAAAGGGACAGAGTCCTGCGTCGGCCGGACCTGGACCTGGGGCCAGTCTCCACCGGGCGGCAGGAAGGGCCTCTCTCTCGGTTGGGCCCTGGTTTCTCATCTGTGTAATGAGATCAGTCAGAACGCCCGCCCTGCCCACTTCTGGGGAGCCCAGGAGATGAGTCGCCTTCAAGAAGATAAAGCAAACTCTCCCCGTTACGATGTCTGCTCTCAATGCCTTTAAAAGGTAGAGGGAGCCTGACTGTGGCTCCGGTCATGATCCCGGGGTCCTGGGATCAAGCCCCGCATGGGGCTCTCTGCTCAGCAGGGAGCCTGCTTCTCTCTCTCTCTCTCTCTCTCTGTCTGCCTCTCTGCCTACTTGTGATCTCTCTCTGTCCAACAAATACATAAAATCTTAAGAAAAAAGAAGTTTACAAAAATAAAAAGCAAGGGACTTAAAGAAAGCCCTCCCAGGGCTGGGTCTTGACCCAGACCCTCAGGTTGGCCCCACACTCTCCGTCTCCCCTCCCTGTACCCCTCGAGTATGGGAGGGCCAGGGCCTGAAGCAGGAGCAGGGAACAGGTGTATGCAGTGATGATGCACTTGAGGTTAACAGCACGTGACCTCACAGTGACTGGAAGACACAGAGATGCGTGCCTGGGGCCAGGCGAGTGTTTGGGGGAGACGCCAAGGCCAACCAGAGCTCGTTTCTGGCAGCACCAACCCCTGGGGTAAGTAGAACTGAAGGTCGCTGGGATCTGCAATGTAGGAGGGCCTGGGGGAAGAGACTGGCTGAGTGGTAGGAGCCTTGAAGAGGTCCTCTCGGTGGCCCTTCGGCGGATACCCACCCCCATGCCCACCCGGACTCACCCTGCCCTCCTCGGCCTTCCCTGAACTTTTGCTCTGGTTTTGGCCCCCAGTTTCCTGGCATTGAGTCAATCACGAATGGAAATGCTGTGATTTCAAATCTTGAAAAGTCTGAAACGTTCTGCTGGCATGTCCGAGTAGAGGTGGTCACAAAAAATCTAGCAGGATTGGGGCGCCTGGGTGGTTCAGTGGGTTATAGTCTCTGCCTTTGGCTCAGGTCATGATTTCAGGGTCCTGGGATCGAGCCCCTCATTGGGCTCTCTGCTCACCAGGGAGCCTGCTTCCCCCCGCCCCCCGTCTGCCTCCCTGCCTACTTGCGATCTCTCTCTCTTTGTCAAATAAATAAATAAAATCTTTAAAAAAAAATCCAGCAGGCAGTTACATAGCTGGTAGGAGTGTTTAAGCCTTTTGAAGGTTACCATAATAGGTAATTGGCATCATGTAAGAACTTTGGGGGAAAAAAATAGGGTATGTGGGCTGGCAATCCAATAGCATGTAAATGCATTATAATAACTCGAGAATATTTATAATTGTTTCAAAAATGTGTTTGAGGGGCGCCTGGGGCCTACAATTGCCTAGGGGTCTGACTCTTGGTTTCAGCTCCGGTTGTGATCTCGGGGTCACGAGATTGAGCCCCGCATTGGGCCCTGTGTGGAGCCTCAGTGTGGAGTCTGCCTGGGATTCTCTCTCTCCCTCTCCCGGTGCCCCTCCCACTCATGCTCACATGCTCGCTCGCTCTCTCTCTCTCTCTCTTTCTCTGTGTCTCAAATAAATAAATATTCAGGAGAAAAAATTAGATAAATAAATAAGTAAATGTTTTTTAAAGCAGTCCCCAAAGGAGTTTGGGTTTTAGGACATTGGCTCTGTCCAGGGGCAGAGGTTGGGCTGAAGAGGGCTGGTGCTTGGGGCAGGGGAACCCCATGAAGGGGCTTCTGCTCCAATCCGGGTCAAAGACGGTCAGTACGCGCCTGGCCCCACCCGCTCTCCTGGCCCCAGACCCCATCTGGGACCCTTCTGTCCGGGGAAGAATTGCTCTGTCCTGGCCGCAGCCACAGCTGGAGGAAGAAGAGAGGGCGGGTCACCTGGATAAGGAGAGGAGGACGGGTGGTGTTGGGGAGTCCCCCTCCAGAGCCCGGACTGCAGGGAGTGCCCCTGAGCTTGCCTTTGGGTGTGATTGTCCCATCCAGGCTCTGCCCCGCGCTGGACATGCCCCTAGAGGGAAACTCCCTTCAGCACGGTGGGGGGGCGGCGCTCTAGGTGCCAGGCTGGGACTGTTGGCAGGACCGTCACTGGGGCTCCCTGGACGGGGAGCTACCGCCTCCTTCCTGGGGGCCCTCCCTGGCCAGGCCCTCCTGGAGTCAGGGTTGGGAGGGTCCGGGCTTGTCCTGGGTTGCAGCTGCTGATGGTTCTTTTCAGACCCCTCCCTGGGACGCCAGATCGGTAGGGCCAGCAGATTCTGCCCCCGAACCTGTCCAACCAGTTGTTTGGGGAGAGGGGGCACCTGGGAGGAGCGGCGGAAAGTGCCAGAAGCAGACTCCTCCATCCCCTAGCCGACAGCCGAGGCTCTGGGACGCTGGAGACAGATGCTGGGACAGACAGCCGGTCAGATGCTCGGCCTGCCCGTGGGGCTCAGTGGGGGTCAGTATTGGTCGCTGATGCCACTGTTGCTGCTGCTGGCCCGCCTCCATCAGGGGACAGGCCTGGGTGAGTGAAGGGGGCCAGGGCACCGTGCCTCTGGCTTCAGGAGACAGACCCACCTCCCCCAGCCACCTCCCGAGCCCCAAGTGTGGGGACTGGGTCCTGGGTGGGTCAGGGGAGATGGCCCACCAGAGAGGTCACAAGACAGACACCTGTCCCCACGGGAGAGTGGGCAATGCTTTCTGCCTCTTTTTGGGGTTCTCATCCCCACGCATCCTGAACCCCCATCCATTCTCGCCAGTTCCCACCTCTCCTTCCCCTCCTTCCTGTCCCTGAGGGGAGACTTAAAGACAAGGACAACGCCCCCAAGGAAGCTTTCCTGGGGTGCAGGTCACTGTGGGCTCTTAAACTGGAGGGGCTTAGAGGGGTAGTCCCCCCCCATCTGGGCTTCTCCCCTCCTTCTCCCTCGTTAAGTGGACAGTAAGTGCCTGCTGTATGCAGGGTCCCCCTGGGGCCTCAGGGACAGAAGCGGGGGCTCTGAGGAAGGAGAGGTCTGGCCTTGACCCTTTGGAGAGGAATGAAGTGGAAATGAATCATGCAGAACCGAGAGAGGGAGAGGCTTCTGGAGACTGGCGGGAAAGCCGCCTCCCCTTTCTGCTGCCCTCCAGTGTTGGGGGCTGGAGAGAGGAGGGGCAGTGCCCTCAGGGGAGCCTTCTGGGCACCAAGGTTGAGTCCCGCCCCCCCATCTCCGGCCCAGACTTCCCTGCCCTTCCCCAAGCAAGGCTGTGAGGGGCTGAGAGGAGGATAAGATCCAGAAGGGCTTCGAAGGTGCCTGGGGCGGGGTGGGAGGTGGTACAGCACTGGGTGGGGAGAAGAGGATATCCTCCCCTCTCAGCCAGGACACCTTCCAGAGGCACGCATCTGGGCCTGGGGTCTTGGTGGGGACCTTCCTGTGTCACCCCCCACCCTCCCAAGCCACTCATTCCTCTCTTCAAGCAAACCAGCCCGGATCATGGGGCTGGAGCTGAGGGACTGGAGAGGCCGGTAAACGGACACCCAGAGAGTGCCAGAGCTCAAGGTCACTGGACCCTGTCAAGTCCAGTCTAGGGTTTAGGCTCAGGCTCCCCGAAATTGTAGTCTCACCCCAACAAGGCCTAAGACCCCTTCCCCACAACTGTGTATGCTGCTGGGGGCTGGGCCTCCTGTGCCTCCAAGCCTTCCCCAGGCCCCACCAGAGGCAGGGACCCCAGTGACAGGTGGGGCAGGACCTCCCTCCTGGCCTCCTACTGTGCCTACCCCTAGTAAGCCAGCAAGGCAGGGGGCAGGGGCCGGACTCAGGCCACCCACCTGTGTCCCACGGGCACAGACTTATTAGGGAGCCCTCCCGATTAGTGTTTGCCCGCAGCTTCCAGGAGAAGCCGCCAGGCCTCCCTCAGATCGGGGATCCCAAATCTGGTCTGTGCCTTTCCCCTCAGACTGGGCCCTCAGACAGGGGCTTCCAGGACCCCGACTCCTCCCTCAGACAGGGGCTTCCAGGACCACGACTCCTCCCTCAGACTGGGCTGTGGGGGCTTGTTTGTCCTGTTGAGACTCTTCTGTCTGCCCCAGAGCGCATCCGCTATGTGCCCCAGCTCGCAAGCCCCAGCCTGGCAGGGACCCTCACCCAGTCTACCTTCACACTGGAGCAGCCTAAGGGCCAGTTCAGTCGCCTCAACATCTCTGACTTGGACGCCATCTGGCTGGTGGTGGCCCACAGCAATGGTGGGTGCTGCGGGGGCACAGGCCTTGGTTTTCCCTCTGTGAGATGGGCAGGAAGCCTGGGAGGAGCTGCAGGTATGGGGGGAGGGGAGGCAGGTCTGGGGGTGGGATGTGGCAGGAGGGCTGTCTGGCCTGGCGGGAGGGGGTGGACCCCTTGCCACGGCAGCCCACGCCATCTGACTGGCGGCTACCCTCAGCCACCCAGAGCTTCACAGCCCCACAGAGGGTTGAGGACATCCCAGCCCCTGCCGACTTCACCCGGAGGGGCTACTACCTCACATTGATGGCCCACCGGGCCCTCTATCCCGGCAACCAGACTGGGAACCAGCTCCGGGTCCTCCGCGTTGGCAATGATACCAGCTGCTCCCTGGGCAAACGGGGCTGCAACGCCCCACTGCCAGGCCCGGGCCCCTACCGGTGAGCTACCTCCGGGCCCTAACCTGAGCCTGGGGGCCCTAACCTGAGCCTGGGGCAGCTCCCAGTGGTCCGCAGGGAGGTCTTGGGGAAAGTCTCCCTTCTTTCTCCAGCAGAGGGCCCCCCACTTGAGCCTCTGCCCCCACAGGCCTTCTGGACCCAGCAGGTGGAGTTTCTCTGTCCAGACAGTGTGTGCCTCAGCCCCATCTCCCCTCACTTGGGGCTTGAGTCATGGATGCTGAGTGCTGGGGCTCTAGACCATTCCACACTTCCTACGTGAGGACTTTAAAGGCCCAGAGAGGGTGAAGGAGGCACCCAGGGCTACACAGCTGGGAAATGTCACAGCTGGAATTGGAGCCCCTTCTGGAGGGTTCTAAGGCTGGCTTTTAGGTCCTGTCTCCTATTCCCCCCCCCCCAGTCCCCAGGCCCTGGGAGTCAAGGGGTCACACGGACAGGTGCCAGGGGCCAGAGGCCTCACCCCCGATCCTGGGTCTCTTTCTCAGAGTGAAGTTCCTGGTGATGAGTGACAGGGGACCTGTGGCTGAGACGGAGTGGTCCAGCGAGACCCACTTGCAGCAAGGTATGGGGGGACCAAATGAGCAGGTCAAACGCTGGGGCTGGAGGCCGCGCGGCCTGAGGGGGGCTCCCAAGGCTGGGCTGGGCTGGGCTGGGGAGAATGGGCCAGCCCCCCATCAGAGGCACCACTACCACTGAGCTGTCTGCAGGTGCTGGGAGCCCCGAGCTGGGGAGAGGGAGGGCTGGTCTGGAGGCTGTTCCAGGTCCCCTTGCTCAGGTCAGGTCTCTCCTCCCTGGGGTGCCCTCTTCACGCCCCTCAGCTGAGGCACTGCAGGCTGCCCCAGGGCCCCAAAGCGCGGGCACCGTGGTCATCATCGCCATTCTGTCTGTCCTGCTGGCTGTCCTCCTCACTGCCCTCCTTGCTGTGCTCATCTACACCTGGTAAGTGGACAGGGTCTCGGCCCCCTGGGAGGGGTGGGGTCTCTGGCTGGAACCACCTCTTATGCCCCCCCCTCCCTACCCAGAAGACCGCAGGTGGCGGGGGTGTGTGTGCAGGCATGAACCCCTCCTCCTTTGTCCCTCTCTGCCTGCCTGTCGCCCCGTGGGAGACGGTAGTGGCAGGGGCGTGTCCACACTGGAGGGCGCACCACTCGCCCCCTGGCGGCAGCAGCCGGAATTGCGACTGGGGGGGCTCTCAGCAGACACCCCAGTGGGATACATCCAAGGGGAGAATTGCTTTTAGTCCAAGTCCTGAGTTTTGCCTCAAAACTTCATCTGGAGCTCGGATGCTGGGGCCTGGTGAACCGGAGGTGCCTGCAACTTCCTAGAGGAAAGGGGAAGGCCGGTGTGGGTTGGATTTGGGGAAGGGAGGAGGAGAGCAGTTCTGGGAGGGAGAGGGGTTGCCTGGTGGGGGAGGGTTTCTGGCAACCAGGAAAGCAGGGGTCTTGATTCCCCGCTGAGAAAAAGGGCTGTGTCCTGAGGGAGCCAGTGGTGGGCTTCAATCAGGGGAGACAAGCAGCTCCTGGGGTGCAGGGAGTAGAGGAGAATGGGGTGCTGGGAGGGCACAGCTGGATTTGTGAAGTTTCAAGGAATAGCCTGGTTCCCTTTGGTATTCCCAGCCTGGCCAGCGGAGCCTCAGTTTCCCCAATGCTCCTATGCCTAGAGCTCCAAGCTGTAGGACTTGGATTGGGCCCTAAGTTCATCTCGTCTCCCCTCCCCTGAAGCTATGACACCTGCGGGAGCACTCCCATTTCGGGCCCAGAGCAGCCGGTGTGCATGAGAAGATATGACACCCACCACGTGACCAGCCCTCCAGCCACGGGGGGCTCCTGAGGAGTCCTCGTCTACCCCGCAGCCTCCGCCCTGGTCCCGGCTACAGATCCTGCCTCTTCCGGAGCCCCGGGAAGAGAGCGTTTCAGAGTGAGGGTGGGGGGGGAGGTGTCCTTGGCCCCCAGTTGGGCCTGTCCTTGTCAGAAATAAATGTCCCCAGCATCCCCGTGCTCATCTGAGTTGTTGAGAGGCTGAGCAGTCCCCCTGAACTCCTGTCCCGAGCCTCTCTGGGAGGCCGCGTGTGTCCGGCACTGGCTGCCCCATCCTCCCAGCGTCCTCCCTGTGGCCCCCCCTCTGGCTGGAAGGCTCAGAACCTCTAAGCTTGCCGGCCAGCCCGAGGCTCACTCTGGGCGTGGGGGGCAGGGTACGCAGGTGAAGCCGACTCTGGCTCCAAACTGAGTTCTGGGGCGTCCCGCATTTGTGACCATCAGCCCCACTCTGTGCCAGGCTCCCCAGGGCGGGAGATGCCCCACACGGTGTCCTGCCCTCAAGATGCCCCGTGCTGTACTGGGAGGAGAGGGACACCAGCCCTTCAAGAACGGCGGGGATGCAGGTACCAGAGATCCAGATGGGGCTTCAGGAGAGGCTTTCTGGGCATGTGTAGCGTTGGAGAAGGAGCAGCCCTGTGCCAGGTGATGCAGAAAGGGTGCTCAGGTGGGAGAAACAGCATATGCAAAGCCCCGGGAGCCACCAGGGGCTGGTGGATGGGCAGGTTTTGGGTGGCTTGAGGTTAGGGTAAGGATGGCAGGGAGGCTGGAGGACAGCCTGTGCTGCCTGCCCTGGGGGCTGGAGGCAGGGAAGGAAGGCAGTGGCTGGGTTCCCAGGTGCCTCTTTCTGGGAGGTGCGAATGGCCTTAATTGGTTTACTAGCCCTTGCAGACACATCGGGTTCTGCTCTGGAGGAAGTGCTCACATGACCATGGGGGAGTCAGGCTGGGAGGGGCAGGGAGGGGAGGGGGGCAAACGGGCTTCCACACCCTGCCTAGGTCAGCCTTGGCCTTGCCAGAGCCTTTCTGGAGCAGCCATGAGCCCCAACCCCAGGGCTGGGTGACTCTGGACATGTTGGTTACCCTCTCTGGTCCTCAGTTTTCCCTTATGTAAAAAGGGAGGGTTGAGCTGGGCGACTAAGTTCTTCACTGCACAGATCAATGTCCTGTAGGATCAGGCCTGGCAGGAGACAGATGGCATGCTGTCGTGCAGGAAATGTTTACAAAGGTGTGGTCAGCGCACTAAGGGAGCCAACAGAAGAGGGCCCTGACTGGGGCTGCCCAGCCCTCCCGTACCCGAGGGGCCCACAGGAGGGAGTGGTGCTTCCAGAGCCAGTGAGCAGGAGTCCTGGGGAAGGGTCTGCCCCCCAGCACTAGGGGCTGTAGATAAAAGAACGCAACCACCAGAAGGAGGGGGGGCAGGGGAGAAATACCCCTCACGCTGGTGGCTCCAGCTGACCTCACCGAACCAGAAGCCAGAGGACTGCACCCCAAGACTGCCCCCCCACTTCAGACAGCGGTAACAAGAACTGGGTGCCCAGGATACCCCCACTTCTGTCCGACTTGGCTACGATGCAGGGATTCCCATGACCCCATTCTCGGACTGGGTCACTTGCTCGAAGGGCGCACAGAACTCAGGAAAACAGTCTCCTTGCCGTTACTGGGTTATTATAAAGGCTACAACTCAGGGGCAGACTAGAAGAGATGCACAGGGAGAGGTCGGGGGGGGCGGGGGCGTGGAGTTTGCATGCCCTTTCTGGGCGCACCGCCCTCCCAGTGGGGCCACCAGCCCAGAAGCTCTCTGAACCCATCGGCTAGGGTCTTTGTGGGGGCTTCCCTCACGGAGGTGGGACTGATGAAATCATGGGCCGTTGGTGATGGAACTCAACTTCCAGCCTCTCATGAAGGTCATCCCATCAGCGTGGCCTCAGGTGTGGTTGACAAGAACATGTTACAAAAACATAAGATGTTCTGGGGCTCCTGGGTGGCTCAGTCGGTTGGGCGTCTGACTCTTGATCTCGGCTCAGGTCATGATCTCAGAGCCTCTCCTCTGAGCCCCCCACCCATGGGCCCTGCTCCCAGGGCCCTTTGCAGCCTCCAGCCTCCCCATCTCCATGCCCTGGCCCCATCCAGACCCTGGTTGTCCCCTGCAGCAGGAACCCCGGGGGCCAAGTGGACAGTCATGGGAAATCAGGGGGCTCCACCCCCAACTCCCTGCAAGTGTGCATTTGTACCGCGTTCCTAGCGTGGGACCTAGGGTTCTGCTGGGAATGCTGGCTTACACAGACGAGTGTGCCAGAAGTCAGGCAGGCAGGAAGGGCGATGAGGCCCTGGAGAGGAAGGGATCAGCAAGTCCTGGAGTCCGGGGGTGGGCTGCTTCTGCATCTGACCCCACCAACTTAAGCTTCTTCGGGGGTGTTTCCATCCTGGGGCACAAAAATGCAACCCCACTTGAGAGACGGGTCTCTCCGGGATCCCAGCCACCTAATTGGGAGGCCTCTCTCCAGGAAGACAGTCCAGCCAAGGAGGTCATCTCCTCCACTGTCCCAGGACCCATTGGTGAGTCCCAGGCCAAGAAGCAGGCTCTCCTGGGGTCCCCCTGGGGACGTGCTGTTACGGAGCCAAAATCTCTCCTTGCTGGGGTGCCGGGGTTTGAGCTGCCCAGAGTCACATCCAAGGTCCCCGTGCCATCTTGATGGGCCAAGGGCTCACATATGATGTTCCCCTTGCTCTCCTGCTGCTAGTCCCACCTCCCATCACCTTCACGGGGAGCCCAAACCCTCCCCATCATTCAAGCTTGGCTTAAATGTTGCCTTCTCCTTGTGGTCACCTGTGACCCCTTCCACGGCAAGTTTGTCCCTCCGCTGAATCTCAAGTACTCCAAGAATATCTCCTGATTGCTCCCAAAGCAGGGGGACCCCATCCACCCCTGATGGGGTGAAGGGGCCAGGAGAGACAGATGGGGAGTGGTGGAAACAGACGGGAGACTTACACAGCCTTGTCGGCCACCCCTGGCCCCTCCAGCCCAGCCCATCGGATGCCACACACGGAGGGCACAGTGAGTCAGAGGACCAGCTGACTCTTGCACGGTACCTACTACACAGTATCTACCAAACAATTCACATGTGAACCTCCAAATCCTCAGGCAAGGCTGTGATAGCCTCATTTTAGAGATGAAGAAATAGATGCATGGTGAGGGCCATCAGGGGAGGAAACCCAGCTCGGGGGTTGGGGGGAGGGCAGAGAGGGTCTCAGAGCTCAGCCACAGGGCTCTCGGAGGGGAGACAGGGGTGCCCAGCCCTCCCACCCCTGCCTCCGATCTGGACAGCAGCCTGGACGGTCCCCTTACCTTCCCTCAGCTCCCACCCCCAGCTTCCGTAGTGGGAGGATGAAGCAGGGCGTTTCCACCCCTTTCTGCAGGGTTCAGGAGGTTAATGAGAGCAAAGCACGAAACTCCACTCAGGAGATGCACTTCTGGGAAGTCAGGAACCATGGTCTGGGCTGAAGGCCAAGGGTGGGGTGGGCGAGGGCACTCTGGTCACGGAACCTGACTCCCGTGTCCCTAGGGCCACTGCTAGGCCCCTCCCACTGGTCAGGGGCACGTCCCCCCAACTGGGGAGTCTCCAAAAATGTCAGAGACCTCTTCTCTCCCCATGGCTCACCTGCTCCAACCAGGGTTGCTGGGAGGTGGGCTGACATGGCTTTGGTGGTCCCTAACTCGCCAGCCTTGAGCCTAAGGCTTGGTTGGCAGGTGGAAGGGAAGAACGGGTTCTGACCCCGGAGGGATGCCAGGCCTGCCTTAAGGACCCAGGATATTGGGGCGCCTGGGTGGCTCAGTGGGTTAAGCCTCTGCCTTCGGCTCAGGTCATGATCTCATGGTCTTGGAATCGAGCCCCGCATCGGGCTCTCTGCTCAGCGGGGAGCCTGCTTCCTCCTCTCTCTCTGCCTGCCTCTCTGCATACTTGTGATCTCTGTCTGTCAAATAAATAAATAAATAAATCTTTAAAAAAAAAAAAAAAAAAGGACCCAGGACATTGAAAGCAGCAGACTGGACCTCGAGTCTCCATCTTCAGGCTTGGTCCCCAAGGTGCAGACGTTCGTCTCCAGACCTTCCTCTCTGTCCCCAGATGTCTGTCGTCCTCCCCAGGCTGTGTGCTGGGCACTGGGGGCAGGAACAGCTTAGCCATAGTCCCTGTCCTATGCGAAGGAGGGTGGCCAGGACAGAGGGACAGACCCCAAGTAGACAGACCCCAGGTAGACCGTCCTGAAGTGCCACAGGAGGTGCTCAGGGAAGAGTTTTGTGTCCTGTTCGGGGTAAGGAAGGGCTCTGTGTTTGCCGACCAATCTGGTGGGCCCTTCAGCTATGACGGGGGCGGGGGGGGGCCCTTGGACCACAGGACGGTGGGGGCGAGATCAGATCAGCTCTGCCCAACAAGGTGGAAATAGCTTGAGTTTCCTCTACTGGGCCGTTGGAGGGAGGTGGAGAGGCCATCTGGTGGGCCCACTGGGGAGAGGTGGGGACAGGTGTGCGATGCCCGGGGAGGGGCCTTTAGAGTTGACCTGTTCAGGGTTCTACCCTAGAACCCCGCGATGCTGCTCAAAGGTATTTCCCTGAGAGAAGGCAGCTCGAGTGTCCAGCAGAAGACACGTGAAGGACTCACGTTCACGGCCGTCTTATCCATGACAGCCCCAGGCTGAACACAGCACAGGGGTCCCTGCACGGGCCATGGGAGAAGGAGATCGTGCGAAGCCAGGCACGGAGGCTGTATTCCGTGAGATTCCATCCAGATAAAGGTCAGAAGCAGGCAAGACTCACTGTCAGGACAGAGGTTGTCCATGGTGGGTGGCAGTGACTGGACCGGGGCACGAGGAAGCCAGCTCAGGGCTGGGAATGTTCTAGACCTTGGCCTGGCGGAGGTTACCCAGGTGTAAGCATGCGTAGAAATCCTTCCAGCTGTACAGTTAAGACGTGTGTGTTTTACTGCCTGAGAAAGGGCCTGTTTTTATTCGTGAGCGTTCAAGGAGCCCGCACTGAGCAGCATCACAGACACACAGGCCAGCAGGCGGAGGCCCTGCCCTGACAGGAGCTGGTCCCCTCCACCCCTCCCTGCTCACCCCATCGGCCGGGCTGCCCCTTGCCCAGGCACAGGCCGGAGAGATGTGTGTTGGGAAGAGTGTGTG